GTTTGAGAACGGATCTTCCGTACTCCATATTGTTGGATTACAATCGCCGAAGTGTGAACAACTTACCTTTTTTAATCCGACAATTTGGTTAATCACCCTCTTGTCGGGCACGTGGTTTGAAAATGCCATGGTAGTAAACTAATTGAACAAAGGGCGCCATTCGGAAGGGGAGGGAAAGATCTTGTAACGGTTGCAAGTAATTTGAGTACTTCCAAAATTAATCACAATACTCTTCCGATTTCTTCCCAATAAATGAAATAAAATTAATAAAAAGATCTTTCAGCCTTTACACTATGGTGAAGAAGGAAGACCAGCGAAGTTTTACTATGGTGGGGATGAAGTAATGACCGGCCGCAAGTCGGCAAGCCAGAGTGGAAAGGCTCGAAAGGTTGCCGCCGTCGCTCATAGATGGCGATAGCTGTCCGGGGCTTTGTGTCGACATTTCTTCGCCCGCGGACAGGATACTGGGAAAACTAGCGTTTAACAGCCCCGCTGTAAAAGTTACTGTAAAAGTACCTCGATTACAAGTAATTTTATTTCTTGTAAAGGGGGGGGGGGGGTGGTGTTGTACAAGTCTGACGTGTGCTGCGCTCAGCGTCCGGCTGCGACTTCTGTTCAATCGGTGCTGCACTGATCGAACTCGAACCCCAGCCAAACGTTGGCGCAGCGTTCGCTGACGTCAGCCCAGCGCTGCGTCAGGAACGCGAGTGTAAGTTTACAATGTTGTTGTGGTCCCCACAAGTATAGTTCTCCACTTAGCCGCTAGAGGCGCGAGGGTTGGACCTCCTTCACAATGGTTTGCAGTCTTCTCCGGGTATTTCTGCTCCCATTTGACCGGTGAAGGGAAGAAGGAAGTCCTGGGTTGGTTCTGAACGGTTGCTGAAGTACCGTCGCGCAATTTCGGGCTGGTATTTTAAAGACGCTTTTCCGCGGGCAGCCGCGGGTCAAGGCGACAGGGGGTTGAGGGCGGACACACAATGTCCTTTGTTCTTCGAGACCCGGCGAGACACATCTCGCAGCGCTGGACAAAAGGAAACACCACCTCGGCTACATACTCGTAGCAGCGGGGGACGAGTGTCTGCTCTGCGGATCCGTTGTGCGAGGGTATCGTAGTGGTTGCGACGCTTGTCGCTTCAACCGCCGATCGGTACGCTCTTGACCTTTTTTGTTCGCGTACTTCGGTGTGAAGTGTTCAAGGCTACGGTGGGTAAAAGCGCAGTCTTCCAACTATGTCAGGTGTCGGCACGCCGTTGGTCTCGGTTGTTCTACCAAACACAGGGATAATTTGCAGTTGCTACTAGACTTTCTGAGTACGACGGTTGAGTCAGAGTCCTAAGCACCGACAATATGATTGACATTGCAGTAAAATGTTCAGGAACACCTAAAGTTTTATTGTGGCCTTCTAACAAGGTTCAATGTGTGCTCGATGTCTGCACGTAGGAGATCAAGTCGATACTACGCTTCCGCCCAGGTGTGGCTCAGCATGTCCTGATCCAAAAACAGAAAATGTCCGCATACTGCGAAACATAAAGCGCCATACTAGGTGCCCTAAACGAAACTTTAGGTGCGCCTCAACGTACTACTCTAAACCACACCTATCTACGTATTTTTGTTTCCCAAATATTAGTTATCAAATTTGTAAAGATTTTTTTTGGGAAACCCTGCATATATTGTGCGTAATGAAAAAAAAGAACAACTTTACTTATGAAATGATATAATATTTTTCATAGTAAATAGACACTGAGGAATTTACTTATTTGCATACCTGTCATCTGACATATAAGCAAAATGTCTCACGTCAAAATCGCATCACCTGAGAGACGTCATTGCTAAGAGCTGGTGAAATCTTTTATCAGCTGTTGCCGATGAAAGCAGGTTAACGGGCGTGCACTTGTTCCGATAACAAGGTAGTTTACTCTAGAGAGAAAATAAATGCAATATAATAGTAATTTTTCCGTCATAAGGATGGCTAAGCATCGTAACTGCCGCACCTTTAGCCACTGAAACCACCATCGGGGTGTTTTATGCTGACACAAAACTAAAAGAGAAGAAAGAGTACATCAGATAGATGATGCAAGCCTTCAACATCAGTCGCGTTTCAACCTTTGCTGCTCTCTTTTAAATGTTTTATACACCCTTCCCTTTACTCATACAAGATCTCGGCAAACCAGGACCATGAGACATTATAAGCTTCTTCATTTCGTTTTACTATTTCCCTTTCAAAAATTTTTTTTTTTTTTTGGCGTTCAGACAAATTTGTTTTTAGACAAATCACAACAACTCTTCGAATTTCACTATGACGCTTGGTCATATTGGTACTAGAGTATATTCAAACTGGCGTAATGTTACGAACTCAGAACTTTCTCGAAAGTGTTACGTGGATAGTTTGTATACAAAAGAACAGTGCTCCCCCTTCCCCTCTTTCACGTCTGCTCGTAAACAGCTATTCACTTGACGATTTGGCAATTCTGCAGAAGAACAAAAGAAAAGAAAAAACCGTGGCCGACAAGAGGAACTTTAGTGCCGCTTCTAGCGGCATGTTTCATGCTCAACAAGCACGATTCGTATCATCAGCACTCGAAGCTATATTTTAATATCATTACAACAACGACTCTACGCACACAAACGGACGACAGTGTCGACACCATTCTTTTTCCACACGCGTAACCTTTGATAGAACCGAAGCTCGGCCACGGCACTTTCTACTGGCCCTACCCGAAAACCATGGGCAGAAAGAAACGAAACAAATAGTATGATGCACGTGTCTTCGTACATCAGCACACCCGAGCTTGTACCCTCCCCGGACTGATTGGTTGTCATCAAGCCGCAGTAATCGTCCTCACCATTTGGAGGGAGATATAAACACATGAGAGGAACAGTCCAGGATGATCGACTACGGGGCCATCGTCTCCGACGCGGCTACGGCGGCCCCATAAACGAGGGAGTTAAAAACGGCATCGACATCGAAGACCTTAAAGCGAAAGGAGAGATGCGGAAGTGGCGCTGGGAGAGCATTCAACATCCGGGACGTTCTGTTTCGAATTTATCTCAAGCCTACCTCTTTCTAAGTGATAGGGGTACGCGTTCATCCAAGACTACGCCTCTTTCTTTTTGGAAATGTGTAGTTTCTTCCTTCTAACGGCTCCTGAGCGGTTACTTCTTTTTAATTTCTTTTGTGGTATTCTTGTTCTGTGTTTGGTTGCGCAGGACGGGGCCAACTTGGTCCTTTCCACTTGTTGCGACTAGCAGATCCGGATCAACCGCAAGCAAGGGACTCTCAGTCTCTTTCTCGAAAAAGAAAAGAAACTCAAACTTCGAATAAACATTGCCAAGAAAAAAAAAATGAAAGAACAAGACGCAAAAAAAAAAAAAAGATGGCGCTCAACATCACAAGCAACACGGGTGATAACGTCAACCCGAGAAACAGCATTGCTCTTCGAAGAAGGTTCCGTGCTGAGAGATCTTTCTAACGCGCTGCGGGACCACGGATAAGATCACGGCTAAAAGTTCACGTACATTTGGTTTCGGTATTTTTTGTTTTGTATGGAGTGTTTGTGTATGTGTATGTGTTTCTGTCTCCTTCGCGCGATTTTTATCGACGAAGTAACTCGTCAATATAAAAACCGAGAGATACAAACGTGAAAACAACAACATCCGAGTCGCCGCCTAAACGAGTTTTAAATTGTACAAATAAAAGGAACGAATTAAGCGACAACTTGAGGACGCGACCAGTGAAGAGGGGCGTCGTAGGGTCGCAGAGGATTATCCTTCCGACACGCCGTAACTTCGGGTCGTGCGTTATCAAGGCCCCGAAATTCCGTTAGGATGAAAGTGTCGTAAAAATTGAAAGCTGCCCGAAAACGGAGAATCCGGCTTTTCTCCCCTCTTCCTCAAAATCGGTGTGCGTGCTTCTTTTTTTCTGCTTTCTTTTGGTACGCTGGTTTTACTTTTGACTTTCGGTTCACCGCGGAATCCGGTTCTCTTCTTTCCGTCAAATCTCGACGCGGAACTTGCTGCTTTGATTGCCTCTTAGCTTTGGACAAACGAAGCAACCGGAAGGGTATATACAGAGACACGTTCTAAGGTCAAGTATGTCTTCTCTCTTTGCACTTTTAAACTTTGGAATTCCGTACGTTTCGCTGAAGATCAGTGTCCGCGTGGCGTATAGTACGCTTTCTCGTTTTCGCCTTTTTTTCCCCCCTACTACATTTACTTCTGAGTGTCTTTGAGGATTCTGTGTTTGAACTTGATTCGTGCCAGGGTGAGGTGCTGTTTATCGTGTCTGCATTTGTGTTTTGCGTGAATGCTTAGACAATGAGAACTTAGCAAGCCCCCATGTACATCCGGTGTCTCTGCTGTTGTAGGTGCGAAATTTAGCCAATGCAGTAGGGCTGCTAGCCTAAGGTCTTTAGCGCGCACCACGCAGTAGTAATACCCTCCGGGCGGCCACTCCGGCGCCACCGTCGCTTGCGCTCCCCAGCGCCGCCCGTGGTCGACCTAAGAACGATTGGTATGTTCCCATCTGAAAATGGCGGCTCGCACGTGCGATCCGACGGTGCTCTTTTGCGGCTTCAGAAGGATTGACGAGATCGCAGAATATTTCAAAGAAAAGTCACTGAAGTTAGGGGAGCAACTTTATGCGGGCCGTCACGTGTTTGGCGTGAAAGAAGAAGTCCTTCATTCCACAGCTCCCAGCGAAGTTGTAGGGAAATCATAATGCCTCGCGCAGATGAAGTCTGCTGTTTACAACGTCCGGCTTCAGGTGAGCGTGCCACCCGGTTCAATTTCGCGTACCCCCCCCCCCCCCCCCCCCCTCCACTCCTCGTTTGTTGTTGTTCTGATTTCTCGGTTCAACCGTGCATAACACACATTTTTTTTTTTTTTTTTTTTTTTTTGCTACGGCAGCTTTCAGCGCACCCGAGACTCATCGTGGGCGCGAGCTGCACCTGCAAGGCTGGCGTGCGTGGGTGGTGCAAACATGGAGCAGTGTATCTCTGCCGTCACATTGCGTATCTTTGCAGTTGCGTCTCTGTCGTCACATTGCATCTCGCCTTGTACGACGAAGGGAAGATCGTGGGGATGTAAGCGGGGCGCTGAGCGATGGAGCTTTTTTTGTTTCCTACGAAGTGGCAGCTGCAAATCCTGGCCTGCCCATTCGCGGGTTCCCAGGAGTCTCCGTCTCCGCTGTACACAAAAATGCAGTGTCTAACTGTGCCAGCGAGAAACAATTCTGTATCATGGAGAGCAAACAAAAACCGAGAAGCGAAAAAAAAAAAAAAAAAAAGGTTTCCTTACGTTGCGCGCCGCTGGGACCGGACATTTCATCGAACGCCGTTTCGTCGAACGCCGTTTCATCGAATGCCGTTTCATCGAATGCCGTTTCATCGAACGCCGTTTCATCGAACGCCGTTTCATCGAAGCCGTTTCATCGAACGCCGTTTTATCGAACGCAGTCTTATCGAACGCCAGGGTGGCATTCCCGCTTCCTGAAGCTGGTCGGAGGTGCCCATCCCGTGTTCTGGAAGTTTTTGACTTGCATTGCCGCAGAACATCATCTGACGGAAGACAAGCAGGAGGCGATGCTGAGTTCCCAAGAGCCTCCTCGCCAGAAGAAGGCCATAGCGGCAAGAAATGAGAAGGTCCGCCTTTTTTATGAGAACCGACGGAGCATGGCTGAGGTGAACGTTTTGAGAGCAATTGCTCATCATTTAAAACGGTGAATGGCTGCCGCACGAACACATGAACCCCCGAAAGTTTTCAAGTAAAATTTGAAGTGACGTACTTACTTTTGACTTCATTGAGTCTTAGAACTAAAAAAAAAAAAAACAATGTTTCGTTATAGTTTCATAAATAGCACCTCAGCTTTAGCTACTGCAAGCTTCGGGCAGTAAAAAAGTATCAACCTAAGTCGCCTTCTGGCCTCCATGAGTTGGAGTGCGCTCTTACCGGGAGTGTGACTTTTTATTTATTTGTTACGATACCCTCAAGGCCCATCGGGTAATACAGAGGGGGGAACAGATAAGCACAATATGCAAAACAAACATAAAAAAATCGATACAAACATCGTCATGGGTTTCTTGCATCAACATAAATTGTAACAGCTACAAGTTTGGACATTAAACCTGACGGTGAAATGGGTGAATCACATGAAAATGCACTCGATCCGTGCGTAAAAGAGCACCTTTCACACTTTTTGTATAAAAGACATTCGATGAAACGGCCGTCAGCGATTCGATGGAATGGCGTTCGATGAAACGGCGTTTGATGAAACGTCCATTTTTTCGATGAAACGGCGTTCGACGAAACGGCGTTCGATGAAATGTCCGGGAACCGCGCGCCGCACCGCTGCAACCCATTTCCGTCGACGCTCTGCCTCGTACGGCTTTGCTGGAAAGCGGTAAAACTCTACCACTGGGAGCTTCTTAGCTGTGTTTCCGTAGCTGTTGTGGCAGTCGTAAACACAGCAATAAACAGAAGTGCGCTTTTTCGACTGCGTTGTTGCGGACGACATAACGGAAGCAGCCGGGTACGCCTGCACTTTACGCCTGTCAAGCCTAACGCGAAAGCAGTCGGGAAGGGCGGTAACCGCGGTAACATACCAATAGTTTTTATTTCGACGGACAGATGGCGCCACGGGTTTTTTCAAAACACCAGCGCCCGGAGCGTATACACGACCTCACACCGGTGCGATGCTCATCCAGATCGAAACACGTAGGGATGGGAATTCAACGGAAGGTCCCTTGGTTACCTGCTACTGCGCCTGTTCACACGCACACACCAAATTAGACGTTAAATGTTTAGGCACCGCAAGGTCGGTTGGCCTTTGAGGTATGGCAACACTGGTTCACGCTGGAGATCGTATACATTTAGCCAGTGCATTAAGATTGCTAACCTGTTTTTTTTATGTAAGTCACGCAGTAGGACGTGTTTATTCGTATAGGGCGTCGTCATGCCATCCCAACTAACATCCATATTTGCTCGCCAACGAAACAAAATGAGCTTTTAGACTATTTGACCAGCCTGCGCGAGCTTAGAACGCGTTTCACTGACCAGCCGACAAAGATGGCAGTGTAGAAGGCGATCATTGGAGTACGGGTCTATAGGCTGCCATTATTTTCCTGTGAAGCCATTATAAGCTGGCTTGAAACGGAGGTCAAAAGCCTTTTCTTCGTCCTATTCTTCTTGTATTCATCCGCATGGTCTTTTACCCCACGACGAATCGAATACATTGAACTTAGTTCCACTCGACCCAATCATCTTCGTGATTGGTCGAGGCCAACGAAAGTGGTGGATCATGCATACGCCCCGACCGAAATAACAACCCCCGGGTGTAATGATGATTACTGATCGTGCAGGAAACTACCGGTTTCCCCCGCTTGGGTAGATGACGTCACGGACGGGGATAACCCCCCCTACCTGAACGAGATGTGGACCAGTTATATTTTATGGTAATTCAGCTTGTTGTTGCTTATTATTGGAGTTTATAACGCGTAGATCGTTAACCGCTGCAGGTGAAAGCGCCGATCATGGCTCGCGCGAAGCCTCACGACGCTTGTTTCGGGTACATTTTCGTCCATTTATCATTCCGTAACTCTCCACGTGTCCCCGGCATTGCCACTCCATTTAATGTGATATTTGAAAGCTAGACTTTGTAGGACACTGCGCTATAGTTTCTTAATAATATAAAACGATACAGGTATAGATTAAAGTAATTTTACACGTGTTTAAGCGCTGAAGTGTGTAACAATTGTAAAATTATTGGCTTAATGATTGCCTTCGCTCGGCTGCCGTATTTTAGCCCTAGAGATTCGTCCTTTGCAATGGTGGAGCTAGTTTGACAAAAGAGAGGAAGTGAAGGATACTTTTTTTCTTTTATCGCAGAGATGTTTATCGACAAACGGATGGACACGGCTTAACCGTATATGATATGAATCGGGCGGCGGCTTGAGCCATCTAGCTAGCTGACGGTAGCGCCACCGCACGGCCGATTTGTTACCGTAGGGGGGATACCCAAGTGTTCATCTTGCGTGCTGGTGAGCATTAGGTACGAACACCCAGTTTAATTTCTTGAAAGACGTAGCTGTTTTGTTTTCATTGTAAGTTGAAAGTCATGCAGTTTCGGCCCCTTTCCTGAGGCGAGTAGAAAATTTACGGAAACTTTATATTCTTAATAGCGAGTTTTAGAATAGGGGGCCCCACTGCTTTGGGTGCCCCAAACAGCTTGGTGCGTCCTACTGAGCATGCGCAGAACTTCTGAGCATGCCCATTGCGATAACCCGAGCTGTTTGGGACGCCCAAAGCTTTGGGGCCCCCTACTCTAAAACTCGCTAATCTTTGGCTCGTTGTTATGTTACAGTCTAGGCTAGCGCACACCAGCTCGTAGCACGTGGAGCGAAAGCTCGCGCTGCAGAACCCAGGGATCCTGGGTTCGAGCCCCACCCCTGCCCGTTTCGATCTGGATGAGCATCGTACCGGCGTGCGGTCGTGTATCACTACTGCGTGGTGCACGTTAAAGACCCCAGGCTAGCGGTTGCACTGCACTGGCTCTCATCTACAGCTGGGAGACGCGTCGCCCCTGTGAGGCAGACCAAGTTCTAGGCTGTATAAACATACACACAACCCAATATTTTTTTGGTGAGTGCATTATTAAATATTGGTTCGATAACGTGCATCACGCAGCAATATAGAGCAAAATTTACCGTGTCGATAGTTGTCATTAGTAGTCCATCTGAGCATTGCCGCATGACGGCCGTCGTATCCGCGTCTGGCTTTGGATCGGAATGGCTGGTTGGCTCTAATACTTGTTTCGCCATACTGGATTGTGGTGGAAGGATAAATACGTTTGTTGGGTTCACCTCGCTAAGAAAAGAATGGCGTTTATCAGCGTCTGCTTTGCGTGGGCATTGCTAAAGCACTTGAAGTAAGTAGGATATTATAAAAAAAAGACTATGCTTCGCTTCAGCTTAAGTCCAGACGCATGAAGGCCGGCGCTAGGAGCAAATGAGACAAATCAAGCAGCGTGAAAAGCGCGAGTCATCGGGATTTTGCTGTTCGGGATCGGTTTAGCGATGATAGAACCCGTACAGGAACATGACGTACGCCATGATGGTAAGCTTTTGATGCTGTCTGATGGATCCCATTAGCTCGTAATGTCGGCTCCGTCTCCGAGGTGCGTCTTCACCGCGTACAGCCGAAATAGACTCTCAGCCGAATCGGGGATTTGGCCGAATTGAGCCGTTCAGCCACTGAAGGTTCGAGCCGAATCGGCGGATTTAGCCGAATCGAAGCGCTTAGCCGAGTCGGAGATTCTAGCCGAATTAGGGATTAAACCGAATCGAAGCGCCCAGCCGAATCGGAGATTCAAGTCGAAGGGAGCCATCGGCCGAATGGACACTTCAGCCGAATCGAGATGACAAAATAATAAGACCGCTCGGGTCTCGCCACCCCCTGGGATTTTTCTAGGTGTCAGTCACTATGAAAATTGCATACTTAGGTATAAGAGACAAAGAACAAACCATAATAAGCTCGTAACAGCTGCTCGGGTTTTCGATGGCTGTACGCTTGTGCCCACCTACGCATGAAGGGACGTTCGGCGCTTGCATTTATCGGCGTTTTTCGGCAAGCACCGTGAAACAAAGAGGGGTGAGTTTTGGAACTCACTACTTAAAGTACTACATCAAGTAGGTTTTACGCCTACTCGCACTTTGCCTAAAGAAGTTTTCTCAAGCGCTTTCCGAAGAAAATGACAACTCCCGTCCCCAAAGTATACGTTCGCCATATTCGGAATTTGGCAAGTTTGTATCACCGATGCTAAAACAGCGCGTAATACAATTTGGAGAAGAAAAACAAAGTTTATAAGGAAACGAGTGGAGCATTACGAAAGATTGGTTTCAAACGTACTTATTCAACTGCAATTTGAGAGTGAATTGTATTTGTAGTATATTTTACACCGAGCCCATCGGGCCCGGTGTAGTACTTGCTACTTTGCATGAAGTAAACATAACCTCTCATGTACTCGACCTCAAGTAATTTTTGTGCGCACTCTACCCAACACTGCGAGGAGTACATGTAACGCGCGCCTAACTCGGAGATATAAACCGACAGTGTGCTTTAGTGTATAGCAGCAGAAGCGACACTGCTGCCGTAATAATATATGCGGGAGACCCCGTCTCAAATAAGAGGGCCACGGTATTGAGGGGGGAGTAAAAAGAGAGTGTCGGGGGTGTAATGGGGGAGTTATCCGAAGAAGGGGGGGGAGTAAAAAGAGAGTGTCGGGGGTGTAATGGGGGAGTTATCCGAAGAAGGTGCACGCGTGCAGGTGGGGCGAAGAGGAGAGGGGAGAGGCAGGGAGCCAAGTGTTTTTGACAGGCTGTAATTTGGGTCCGAGATGTAAAACACAAAGAGGAGACAGAAAACAAAACAAAAAAATATGTGGAGTAAAACAACTAGACGAAAGTCGTAGATTGCTTCCGACCTTGGTTAAGGAAAAGGGGGGGGGGGGGGGAGGAGGGGCTTGAGAGTAGCCGAAAGATGTGGTGCGATCAACGTAAGCCCTGTGCGTTCATTGGCCCTCGAAAAGTAAGGGGGGGGGGGGGGACATTTCTCTAGTTGGCTTTTGTCTCTGATGTTTTTACGCTTTTTTTTGTTTTTTTTTTTTGTGGTTTTTTGCTTGGAGGTCAACCGTAAAGTTGGGTTTGCTCGCGTGCTTGGTCATGCGTGCCAGTGCGTGTGTGGGCGCGCGTGAGCGCGTCGAAGCTTGTGCGTCGGCGAAGGTGACGGTGTAGGTGCACGTATACCCCTGGACTTGTGCACACGCCCGCGCGTGCATTTAGGCGCGCACGGCGGCGTCCGTGCGCGTGCATGTCTCTGACCAGATAGATCGTTTGCTAATATCTGTGTGCCTTCGTGTTGGAAGTAAAAAAAACGCCTTACAGCTAACGCCATTCCTGGTAACGCGTCCCGGTTTTCAGTGAAGTTCCAACATACTCGGGAGTTTCAAAACTGAGTAAGAGTAAAGTATTTCTTTTTTACTATTTTACCGTATTTCAAAAATAAAATAAAAACACGTTAATTGTTACCTTCGATTAAGATTAATCACAATTTTGGTTGGAAAAAAAGTGTTTTTCTGAATTAGGCAGAAAAGAATAAAAGTTACAATTCTGTGCAGCGTACTTAAAAAAAAAAAAGAAAAGTAACGAAAAAGTAATGTTGGTTACTCTTTGAGGGTACGATGGGCCCTCCGGTATGAACTGCGCATGCGCAGAAGGCTCGAGCATGCGCACAGTTCGTACCGGACGGCCCATGGTACCGTATCGAACGTGCAAAAACGCTTCCCGAAAACTCTCTAGTAGCGGTAACGGTATTTCGTTACACTTTTGCAGGACGGGAACGGATCGCAGTAACGCGTTCGTTTTTGACGGACTAACGAGGAACGCTATTTTGTTACTTATTTTCGGTGCTTGTTACTTATTTTCGGGTATCTTTGCGCCCTGGTTGTCTGACTTTTGAAAG